CTCTCTGTCCTCGTCCTTTCAGGTTTAGGACCTGCTGGCAGGATCCTGACGTCGCGGCTCGCGACATGGGAGGACTGACTATAATCTTATTGACATAATTTTACTCCCAGAAATTAAAGGAAATTTACCAGTTAGAGCAGATTATTTGGTTAAGATAATAATACATGTTTACATGCCAAAGGTACATTTAAAAGAACTTAAAATCTGAAAGTATTTTATTATAGCCCTGTGAAGTGGTACGCCTATAATGTACTATTTTGTTCACTTCTTGAATGATTTTTCTGTTAAATACTTAATGATTAAATACTTTATTTTGTATCACTACAATGTATCAGGCAGCTTTCCATCACTGTAGCCAATGCCTGAGATGATCAGCTAATAAAGCAAAAAGTTTTACTTCGGCTCACAGTTTTAGAGGTTTCAGACCATGGTCAGGAACCTCATGCCCTGCAGCACATCACAGTGGGGAGCAGGTGGCAGATGCATGTGCCCTTCAGGGGCACGCGTCCAGGGACCAGATACCCCACCACCACCAGCGTCACCTCTGAAAGCTTCCGCCACCTACCAGCATCACACCAGGAAACCAGGACTTTAACACACGGACCTTTCAGAGACATTCCAGGTCCAAACTATAGCAACAAGCAAATATATAGAGAGTTGTTCTTAGACTGTGATTTTGAAGTAAATGCACTTACTAAAACTAAAATGTTTGCAAACCTTGGTAGTGATGAATCCTTTCTATGGTCTTTTGTTATGATATGTCAGTTTGACTTGCAAATTAATAATCTCTGAGTAGGTCTATGCATGACTTGAGGTAGGCCACAAACTTATGGCCTGAATGTGGGCGATACCAACCAACAGGCTTGTAGCCTGCACAGGATAAAAAGGGAAAGAATGCAGTCTCCTCTTTTCTTCTTCGGGGTGTTCCAGCCTTTGCCATGGCCTTTGGATGTCCTGCTCTAGTTTTTCAGGCTCTTCAGTCTTCCAACTCAGACTCCGGCTTTGTACTGCAGACTCACACCAGTCTGTGCAGTTTCCAGGACTTTGACCTTTGACTGCTTCTGAGTCCCTCTGGCCCTACAGTGCACAGACTAGCATAGATTTCTATGCTAGTCTAGAAGAGAGCCACTGAGACTCTTCCGGTTTTGATCCTGTAAGCCTACCTCATGAATCTTTTGTATAACCGTACATATTTTATTGATCAAACATATATTTTACATTGAATATGTTCTGAACCCTAAATAATACAGAAGGTTACAAGCACTCATACATATTTTGGTAATGTGGACCACACTCTGTGCCCCCACTGCCTTGCTCTCCACAACAACGAAGTCAAGGTGGTGATGAAACCAACCTCCTTCCTGTTGTTTCTGCTCAGAGAATCCTTCTCTCAGGTCCCAGGTCTAACATAGTCTTCCTGGGGAGATCATTCACGCCTAAGACCAATGTATCCAACAAGGATTTCCGGAGAAACGGGGTAATGATAACCACCAACGTGATATTGTGGTTTAGATCAGAATGTCCCCGAAAGTCTTCATGCACTCATAGATGGGGCTTTTAGATGTGTGTGTGTGTGTGTGTGTGCGCGGTACTGGGGACGGAGCCCAGGGCTTCACACTGAGCTGCATTCCCAGCACTTTTTTATTTTTTATTTTGAGATAAGGTTTCCTTAACTAGATACTGCTGTGAAAGTTTTTTTTTTTTTTTTAGATATTAGCATTTATTTCATCAGACTGAGAAAGCAAATCACACACATATGGATGTTTCTCTGGAGAGTCTTAACTAAAACAGCAACCTAATTAACTTCTATTCCAAATTAGTTTCCAGAAAAATCTCTATTTTTTTTCACTCTATCAAGTCTTAGGTGAGTCAATAAAATATAAAGCATGTCAGCATGTTTAACTCATTTTTTCTCATTCATATTATCAAGTGTATTTGATCCCTCTGGGAAATTCTGGAATTTTCCTTGAGTTTTGGGGTGATTTTTTGTTCCCCCACAACAGCTGAAGTTCAGTGGTGATCAATGTGCTCAGTACCAGTTCCCCCGGTATTAGCCCTTCAGTACTGAGAATCCCCCTTATCAGCCCATGTGGTTCTGATAAGGTTGACCTTACTTCAAGGTTCCAAGAGTGGGTGTGTCACCAAGGCCTGTGAGAATCAGGACTCTCCAGCCCTAGTGAAGGTTTTTGAGGGTGGCCACATGACCAGCCAGGCCACTAAAGGCAAAAAACAAAAACAAAAACAAAAAAAGCCAGCCCTGCTGAAACTACAGGAGCGATGCTGTGTGTTCAAGGAGAGTCACTAAGCCTCTACACTCAGGACCTGTCCTCCTGTTGGCTGATTGACACTACTTAAGGAGACCATGTCTTACAATAAAAACAATATAAATGAAAACAGAAGATGAAGACCAAGATAAACAGGATTGTGTATCTGAACCTAGTATGTCCAAGGTCAAATCTAGACTTTAATTTTGTAAATCAACCAATCATTTTCTCTTGTTGCACGCAGGTGACCAGTGTTCAAAGTATAGTAATGGCCAAGTGAAGAGCTAGCTCTGTTCCTTTGAGGATTCCAACTAAGCTCAAATGTCCAGTGGCCTGGGTAAAACTCATGCCCTTGGGAACTTTCATATATTTTTAAGAAAAGAGAGCAAACAGCTATGAGCCACAGCTGCATCTTCATTCCTACTCTAAGTCTTTGCAGAATATTCTCCTAAAGTTCTCATGGGCCACCCTATCCCTCCTTTAGACAAGTGTAGCATGATCTGTGTAGTTCGTTGTATTTGAAATTCTATAAGAAAAATAAGACTTTAATCATCATTTGGGGGTGTTTTTTATTGGCTTTACTTTCTTTTGAAGCACTTAGCATATTTGAAATTTTTTGAGTACTTGAAGTGTTCTCTTATAACCCTATGCTTCCTTAGCTAGAACTGTCATAAGTCAAATGAACAGAAATTTTTAATGGCGTAGTCTAAATTAACTTCCTAGGTAGTTAAAGATATATCACTAACTCAGATTTGTGTTTTAGAATTCCACGCTAAAATTTACAATGAAACATCAGCAGTATCTGTTATCCCCTCCATCTTTACAGGACAGTCCTCTGGGATGCAGAAGAGGGAACTTGCTTATATTTTAGAAAGCTGGATATTCTTAATCATTTAAAATAACAAGGTTAAGTAAGATGTGTTCATTTTTAATATTTTAGTATACTGATGTGTTTTCAAACCTTGATTTAAGCTCAATTCATAAAACAAGGTGTAGATCATCTTTGGCATGAATTTCATAAATTCACATTTATTTCTGAGGTTTGTATTCCAAGTTATCTTTAAGAGGATATTGTTGATTTCCTTGAAAAAAATACATAGCTCTAAAATTTGGATAAACGTAGAGAGGTGTTTTGTTTATTAAGCTTTGCCATTAGCCAAAACTTGAGTAAAATAAAGTAAGATGGTTAGGAAAAGAAACTATATTTATATAGTTTATATAAATTTATATTTACATAAATATATATTTATATATATTTATATTTTACATCTGAGACCATTTGGCCTGCAAAGTGCTGCAGACTGGGTAGCATGGAAACAGCAGAAATCAGTTGCCCAGAGTTCTAGATCCTGGTAAGTTAGACCTAGGTACTAGTCAGTCCAGGCTCCCTTACCGACAGTAGTGTTGTAGTCAGGGTCTGCAAGGGAATAGATTTAATGCAGAACACACATAATTTATACAATTATTTGTTAACAGTCCCCCAAAAAGTCAAATGCAAAGGAGTGTAAGAGATTAGCTGCACAGTAGAGACCCAAAGAATTCAGCTGAGGGCCTGGGCCCCACAACAATGTCCCACACTAGTCCAGCTGAAGGCCTAGAGTCCCAGACAGTGTCCTCCTCGAGTCCAGCCAGTGGCCTAGAGCCTAAGGCAATGTTTCATGCTTGTCCCTATTGAGGATCTGCACCTGGAAGGCCCAAGGCCAGTGATGGGAGCCAGAAAACCTGCACCGGTGGGATGAAGGATTTGTGCTGAGGGATCTACACTGGGCCAGGAAGTGATGCTAATGGTGAAGACCAGAGTTCCCCTGAGGAGAAGACCAGCCATTCCCAGTGACAGCGA